GAGCGGTTCCGATAAACTGTAAGCTATTCCCGCCAAGAGGTTTTTACACGAGGCCGGCTATGAAACAATGTCGTGTGGGTCCCACAAACCGAATCAACAGCTTATTTGCACAATATCCGAAATCTACAACTCTGTTATGAACTTATATTTAAAGAAAATAATTGAAAAAAATCTCCACTTTATTATAAAATAACTCCCCCCACTGATTTAATTAAAAGAAAACATCCTCTTGGGTTTGGGTTGTTGTTAACTTTGAAGAAAAAATTTATATTAAAAGGAAACACCACACAAACAGTGGGGGGAAGTTTTTCACCTTCGATTAAAAAATAAAAAAAAACTTTCATACGATTTAAGATAGATAGTGATATCAATTGGGTTGGCCCAACCCATTTGGATTTGAAGGATAAATGGGTTGGGTTGGATCGACCCGTTAATAATAGTGGGTTGGGTTGGGTCGATCCATTAAATCCGTATAAACCATATAAACTCATTTATATATTCACAAATTATTTATACATATGTATAACTATTAATATGTATACTCATATAACCTAAAAATTATCATTTAATATTCGATTCGGTTTATCGATTCAATAAAAATATATACAAAATTCGATAGTTTATAAAAAAAAAATTATACATTTCTTTAAAAAAAATCATACTTTTTTTATTTTTTAAGTTCGATTCGATGTTTTAAAAATATTATCGTTTAGATTTTTTGAACAATTCGTTTCGAAAACGAACCGATTTTTTCAATACGATTCGATTCAGAAATGGTGTTGAGTTTTTCGGTATGATTCGAATATTTCAACACGATTCGATTCGGAATGGTATCGGATTTTTTATACGATTCAAATTTTTCGGCATGATTCGATTCGGAAATGCCACCGAGTTTTTCGGTACGATTCGATTCAGAACGGTACCGAGTTTTTTATATGATTCAAATTTTTCGGCGATGCGAAAACGACACCGAGTTTTTCGGTACAATTCGGAGCAGTATCGAATTTTTCGACACGATTCGAATTTTTCGATACACTTCGATTCGAAAACGAAATTGAAATTTTCGGTACGATTTGATTTGAAAACGAGACCAATATTTCGATTAAATTCATATACATATATATGTATATATATAAATATCTATATATATTAATTTTTATATATCTAAATATAACAATTTTAATTAGTTACTAAATGAGTAATTTTAACTAAATACCATTAAACCCATGGGTTTAATAGGTCAAAACCCATTTAACCCATTTTAAAAAATTAACCAAATGGGCTAAACAATTTGGGTTTATAAGTGGGTCGGATTAAGTCGACCCGTATAAACCGATCCATTTTGACATCTCTAAAGATAGATGATTAGCAAATCGATTTTGAACCAATGCGTCTTTGAATGAGTTGGTTTAGGATTTTAGCCCGTTTTCCGGTTCACTTTAAAACCGGATTGAATTGATTCCAACTCAAAAACAACGAATTCGTGATGATCTGATTCGAGTCAGCCTGATTTCGATCTGGAGGCTCGTAAATAAAACAGTAAGATGCTGTTAGGAGGATCGTATAAAACGATGGTTGTTACCAGAACCAAAACGTTGACACACAGAACGGAAACTATACTCGTAAATTTCAAGAGACGTCGGGTCGGGCGAGCCTTTCTTCTCTCCAGTCTCCTCGTCCTCCTCCTCGGCTCGCAGGCTTTGTGCTCACAAACTCAGTGGCTCTTCTGGACTGTCTTCATCAGCTTAGGCCTGCATTCCCAAAACACAAGTTCCACTGTTATATGCATTAGGAAACAAAGTTAGGTTTTAAGTTCAAACCACCATCTTGATCTTGAATATGGTGTTGAGTTTTAAGTTCAAACACAAGTTCCACTGTTATATGCATTCTCAGTCGAGGCTCGCTAGCTGGCTTGACTCGGTCCAAATCAGACCACCGTGAACTCACTGATCTGAGCACAGATCAGCCCAACCCTTTTTCAAAACGAACCCAAAAAATTTAAACTGGCTCGCCTGAAAAATTAAAAACGAGTTGGTTCCGAGCCAACTCACGAGCCACGGCCCGTTTTACACCTCTATGTTCGTTTGCATGGCAACGATCATGGTGTCATGTATTTGATCGAAAAGGAGGGAAAGTTTTAGACTGTTGTTTCATATGTTCCGATTTGTATCAATAAGTTCTATGATGTAGGACAATACCATTAATGTAGGAAAATACCAGATTTGAATCAATAGGTTTATGATCTAGAGTTTCTACACCTAGTTTCATCAAGTATGAGAATTGCAGGTATGCGCACTTTCCCATATACGTATTCGTGTCAGATCGATAATCACCTTTAAATATATGCAGAAAAACACAAACTGATGTAGCTGAAGCCGCAGAAACCATGCTCCTAGTAACCACCAGGATCTGGACCAATCTTTTCCCACATTCATAATCTCGATATGTTCGAGCAAAAATATGACCTACAGGTGTATAATTTGAAACCCATATGAGAATCATAAGCTTGAAAGGTAATTTGTTATGTTGAAATTTGACAGGAATGAAACAGGATGCACGTACTCTAGAACAGTCTCTAAACCAGATGCTTAGAACGACGCAGAACAAGCAAGCATTATTTTCTTAGCAACTAAACCAAAGGGAAAAGTTTTTTTTCTTTCTCAGATTACAGCGACATCCTCTATCCACAGTCTTGGAATTAGCCAAGATTAGGAGGAACGAAAACAGCACGGGAAAGCACTAAGTAGATGACAAAATCGTAGGATTACCATTCCAATGGACAAATCATAACAGCAGAAGCCTGGAAAGAAACTACGTTCAATCAAAACAGTAGTTTTACGGCGGATGGCAATGTACAACAAGAAACCAAACGTAAAACTTACCACCAATGGTTGAATAAGCATTTTGTGTGAGATGAGAAATATGCATCTCAGCGTTTAGTTCTGCAAAAATCGAGGCTGAGATCTCCTCCATGTTCATGCCTGATCTTCATAATCTCCAAGTATCTGGCCACAATCTTCTTGTCTAATTCGTAGTAGTCTTCAATTTTCTTTAAGGGTTTCAAATCAAGGTCAATGAAATGTACCTATTAACATAGTGCAAGAGGCACCGTTAGATTCACAAACCAATGAACTTTGAGAGTCCAACATCGGTTAACAGAGGATTATGAGGTCCTTCGACACCCTCCCCTCTCCTACAAACTAGTATTTGGGAGTGAGTTGTACCTAGGTGGCTCTTATCAAGCACCTGACAGAAACAACTACACAGTTCACCCCCAACTTAAGTGTCGAAGATGAGCATTACCAAGTTCTTCCCTGAGAATGATGTCAATACAAACATTTTGTTGTCGAAAATCAAAGCACAATCTAGTATCTGGGTAGTGCTTTTACCTTGTAATCAAATGCTTGATTTGTTGATTCTAGATACAGAGTGCTGTGGGAAGATCCTAAGTGCTCGGCATCTGTTGGCCTAAAACTAATCATCAAACTACAGTCCTTTGCAGTTGCAGCTATTAGATAATTTTTCACAATATTCAAGCTTTCGTCCAGTGGAACTGAATGCATGGAACTATACTGACTGGATATTTTACTCTCGTCCGATCCTCTGCATACTGTACATGCCTGGCCAGTTATGTCGTAGTAGGCATGAATCACCCCCTCAATATCAAATTTATCAAGCTTTTGAGCGCCAAGAAGTTGATCTAGAACCCCAGATGTGTAAATTGTGTCTGTAACGAGCTGTATGAAATTATCTGCACATAAGCCATCACCAGCTGAGATGATGCCCTTGAGTAGAAGTTCAAAAGCATGTTCAACCTTGACAGTTGTTTTGCCTATGCCACCATCGAAGTTCCCAAAAACCAGAGACCCGTTCAAGAAGACGCGGAAATTGTTTTGAGGAGTGCCAGACAGAGCTCTTATCGCTTTGTGTATTCTATCTTTGGTTCCAGAGAAAAGGTCCAAGGGATCATATTGACTTATCTCTGAGATCTGCAATGCAGTTTTGACTAGTTAGATCCATAGCTTACCTAGGATGGAGATATCCTCTAGTTAGAGAGTTAGTATAAGCTTCCTCAAAACTAGGGGAGCAAAGTATTTGTGCTCTACAAGACTTGACCTTGCAAACTAATACGGTATACTGAGGCAAAGAAATGCAGAATTCTGGCCGTAGGACATATCTTAAGAGATCTAGAAGGTTGTTGAAAAAATACCTCATTACCCTGCCGCTTTAGAACTTGGTGCATTTCAAAACGAGTTCTAGTCTTCTTAATGGCATTTTCTTCAGTTATGTAACTCGAATCTGGGAGAAATCCACATTTGGGCTACTTCATCAGAGCAAACATGGAAACGTATATTAGCGTAAAGACATAAAGAGAACAGTGAAAAACTATCAAAGAAGCCCATGAATAATAGTGAACACCTTTATTTCAACACTGATGCATGTTTCGTCCTTAATAGAACCTGAGACAAGGGAAGATCATTAACAACAGGTATTTGTGCTCAAGTAATAGTTCAAAATAATTATCAATTAATTTAACCGGGGAATATTACAAACACGAAGTTCCTCGCATCTGATGAAGTTTAGAACACCACTTATCAACTATACTAGTAACTACAGAATTGTGGAACATAAAATTGATGTCAGCTTGTTATGTTCAAAGAAATGAGAGATCTCAGACCTCTTGTCTCAGTCAAATTGGACAAGCAGAGAAAGCTCATAAGAGCTTCATTGATTGAATAATAACTTGGACATATGATCTTATGTTATGATTTTTTACCACAGGTGAAAAGTGTATGATCATCCATCAGAAGCACGGAACTGCGCAGTGTATCCACCTTGGCAGCATCAACACGCCAAGAAGGACGCTGAGATACCACATTTTCCTCAACAGATTCAAGAAATTCCCTGGCTACAAGAAGACGAGTCTGCAAAGTTGAAAAACGAAACAGATAAATTCCACAGTCCACCACTTTCCTCAAAAAAGCCCACATTTTTCCTGATGGTTAAGCTCTCATGAATGTACCTATTGCAATTCCATCCAATTCTCACAAAGATCATCCAGAAAAATGTAATATAATACTAACAAGCCATTGAACCGAGACATCATATGCCCTCTTACGAATACGAAGTACCAAATGTTGATGATTCCAATTATGGAACACCATTGGCTAAAATGACAACGAATACTATCAAATTAGCCTGTCCACCACATGCTCAAAGAAGAGTAAAACGTGGGAAAACAGATAAACTATAGAAAACAGAGAGATTCCTAGGATAATTCTTCTAGCAAATGTGTAATATAATATCTAAGACCTATATCAGTACTGTACCAAAAAACCTATTCGAAGATAGAGAAGCAGAGAGAACATACCCCGGCATCCACATGTTTAGGACCCAACAAAGGGCTCATCACAAGTTTGACGTACATATGCTCGGCAACTTCCTTGTCTTGACACGATACAAGTTCCTCAACCTCTCTCCAGACGAGCTTTTCATGACTTGTTAGGCCCGTATCATTGTTGTCATTTGAATTCTCATTCCCATCCTTAGGCATCTTCTGTATCCGCATAACTTTTCCTAACTTCACATGCGAAAATATTAGTCAATGTAAGCATTCCCTCTGTTCCACATTGCTGAATTTCAATCCATTTCACATCATTCACCAAAAAACTTTAGCCCAAGCTTTATACATTGAATCCATTACTCAGAAACTTGTCAAAGCGCCAAAAATAAAAACAAAAAACTCTTACGATCAATTGATTCTCCAAATAACAGAGCCTTTTTCAGAATTTCATCGAGAATTAAGCAAAAACCTGTCCAGATTTGATATACCCGGAAATCTGCAGCATAGAGAACTTCAATTCAAAAGAAAAAAAAAATCAGAGAACAGGTAAAAAGGACTCACGAAAGCAGGAGATGATCCAGTGTACGCGAGAACGAGATTAACAGCTCCCTCGCCTTTGTAAGACCAATCAACTGCGTCCTTTTGTTCAAGAACAATCTCCATCTGATCGAATCACCAAAAGTCAGAGAAAAACCGCATCACGATGATATCAAACTTGAAATTGAAAGAAAATTCGGTGACACATGAAAAAAAAAGTCTAGATTAGATTCAAAGGAAAATGAAATGCAAACCTGTTGTCTTCGGCAGAATAAATTCCGATCAAAATTCTCAGATTCAGATCGACAGTAAACTCAGGCGAAATGCAAATCCGAAAATGGAAAGAAGGATCAAATTTGCAAAAATTATTACGATCCCCAAAGAGAAAACCCGATGAGAGAAAGCCCTAGCGGAATCAGTTCAGTTCACTTGGAGAATAATTTAAATACAACGGATGGTGCAATTAATTAATTATTTTAGTCAACGTGAATCTTTATCTTTGTTTTATGGTTCTTTTTTATTTAATAATTATAATCTCTAAATTAAGCACTTGGCTTCTCATCACCATCGTAAGATTCTCGGTAGCCGTCTGATTGACTTATCTCTGCTAAATCGACGGCTCTGATGATCTGACGTTTTCGTTGACGGGCTTGAGGGAA